AGTGCACGCTGAGTTTCTCGTGGGTGACCTGCTGGCACGCTTGTGACTTTTTTTACAGCCAAAAGGGGCACCTTTTCTAATGGCGTTCATCATTGCGGGTTCTTTCTGCATGCCCTGTAGCCCAATGAAGTAACCCAAATTAGGATCTCGTCGGTGCCAAGATCAAACTTGTCGCCATTTCTTGCAGGCATCCTGCTTGGCCCTGGAAGCGTGCGGCACCTTGCTTCGCAAGGTTTCGAAGTGCTAACCACGCGCCAAGAGGCGTTTTTTCAAGGTATGAAAATACTCTGCGACAGCACCCAAAGCATAAGATGTAGGCGTCGACTGCGTCCATGACGTCACCATCGGCGACGGATGGCTCCTCCTCACCGAGGCCGCTCATGGTGAGCATTAATACCTTCGAGGGGCGGAATTTATAGAATCCCCTGCTCTGGGTGACAGAAACTTAGACGGCTATGGTGTCTGCCATGCTGCAGAATGAGCACCGGCGCGTACGTCGCAGGGCGGCAATACGAAGTGAGTCGGCGTTGCGCCTTGAGTTTGGCAGGCTCGAGCCGAAGATGGTGTTCCACGCGCACGTCTCCTGCCTTGTGGCTCCACTGTAAGCTGGACAGCGAGGGAAGTTTCCGGTGCCGCTGCACCTATCGCTCAAAGTGCTTTCCGTCATCTGCAGCGATTTCGCCAAGGGTAATCACCAAAGGAATCGTCCGCATCGCGGGTACAGGAGTGCCTCCTTATTGAGCGCGAAGTCAAGCGCGGTACCTATCCATTGGTTTTTTTAGGTGCCAAGAAGCGAGCTCGGAGACCTTTTCGTTGGTCAAGCTTAGCTTGTGTAATGGCTGGGGGCCCGACCACGTGGACGCCCAACGGTCGAGTGATCTGGATTCGCCAAGCGGAAGCCGTATTCCACGGCCTAGAACCGACCGTAGATGAGCGCATATCTGTGCCTTGTCGAGGTGCTTGGTAATGATACCGCTTCCCCCGGAAGTCAAGAGCTCGGGAAATGGACACGGTGTCCGCAAGATTCACACAGGACTCACGTCGCGCTGCTGGCGCACCTCCCCCTCCTCTTCTTCCCAACCTGAAAAGGAGTATCCAAATCTTATTTGATTTCCTCCAAATCAAATCCATCGCCGTGGTGGGTGCGGTGCGCGGTGTTCCGTCGCTTAGAGCTTGGGATGCGCTTCCCTGAAGCCGCGGACGCGCTGTCCAGAGTTGCACCACGTGCAGGAGACGAAGAAGGGTTCTGCCCCCGGGCGCTCTCGAGGCTGGGTGTCTATCGTGCCCTAGACAAAGGCCTCATTGAGCAGAGAATGCGTGCAGAAGATCCTGGGGATAGAGGTGGCTTAGACTCGTACGAGGCGACAGTTAAATGTGAACTGTGGGTGTTTACAATATTGATGGGGGGTGTAACGGGTTACACGTACCCTGGTATGAAGGAAACGTTCACATAAGATGTGTGACTACACAATGGTGTGGCTACACCTTAATAAGAAGCCACTACGTGGCTGGACTGACAGTAGTTTTACTTTTAAAATAAGATTTTGCTATTTAATTTGGACAACCTATTCATAGATTTAGGCGGCTTTGCCACCAATAATACAGATTACATTTTAAACAGAAGAGTTAATTCGCCTTGAGTTGAGGTTGTGATTACTTTTGGAGTAAGCGGATTGCGAAACGCTTCTAAGTATAGAACAAAGGTCGGTGACCTTAACTAAGTTTACTCTAAGCAAAAGAGCTACGGTAGCACTACCATTATCCGACGCTACCCCTCCATACTGGAAAGGTGGGCCCCACTACGGGACCGGAGATGGTGCCGTCACTGCAAATATTGGCGACAATTAATGTCGCAAAGCTTTACATGCTAGGTTGCTTCCTGTTGCGGTGCGTTCTGACATGGGCTGTCGGTCCGATGCTTGACGGTATCAGTGCTGTTGAAATTTAAGCAATTCTCTCTGTGAACCAGAATACGTCGTCTGGAGCTGATATTATCACCGACCAATTCACAGTCTAACTGAAGCAAGGTAAAACTTCACACTCTGTAATAAGTTATGTACATGACCCAGCTATTGTGTTGCTGTGCACCTGCTAAAATGTTTGGCGTATCGTACCCACTTATCATGTAGACGATAGAAATCGACTTGACATATATTGAATGTCTGCATACATGATGAATACTTGAATGTGGATGTGGAAAATTAGACCTCATTTGTCAGACGCTACATACATAAACTTTATAGTCGCAGATTGTACATCTCAAACAAAGTCATACATTATTGATGCTGTTCAAGTGCGAAAAAATCAAATCAGCATCAATGGCGACATCTTGGCACAGATATTAAAAGCAGTATTCATATTGATCGTGCTTGGAAAGGAAAATTGAATTTGCCTCTGTTTGAAGTGGCTCAGGCGAAAGCTCGCAATACTCATCTGGTGACGACATGATTAAGGGATATTTGAAATTTCAATAATAGGTAACATTAAACTGCCAAGGTGGTGAACATTTCGCATCCAAATTTACCAAGCGCAATGCATAAAGAAAGTAAATTGGCTGGGATGCACACGGAAGCTGACAACCAACCTGTAGTGATCAACACGGTGAAGGCACGATAGGAGGGTACAAGAGACATCTCGAAATCTTTTTTTCTGATTTCATTCGTGATCGTGGACGCAAAAGCGCGATGATCATGGCGAACGGCAAGAAGCTCCGTGTGATCCGAACAAGATCGGTATGAAAGGATCGATAAAAGCGCATACAAATTGTTGAGATCCTCTCCCATCTATACTTTTACGCCGACTACTATCATTCCAGAAAATAACTGAGCGCGACCTATGCAATGGCATCAAACGCTCATTTTCTATGGTCAGTGGGTGCTGTGAAATACTCCCACAGGCCATCTACGTGAAAGAGCGCTACCAAAGTCACAACGCGCCACTACTGTTCTGAATGTCGCGATCAAGACGGTCATGATCGTACGCGGTGGCCGCACAAGAAATAAACATACGGAAGGATATATTTCGCCTTCTGTGAAGACTAAAACATGACATGTGGTTTAACTAATGCATTAGAGCGTGATAGGTTCCATGAAGTCTACGTTGAACAATTGGACAAGATACTTGCTCGCCTTCGTGAACGTATTTGCAAATTGTCGGGGAAGAAAACGGAAATGGTTAAGAAACTCAGGACGTTGAGGTGAATGTACTAGAGGCAGTAGAGTGAATGGCTTAAGTGCCTGCGCTCTGGCTCGGAGCAGAATTCATGAGCAACAACATACGGAGGTGGCATCGTTTACTAGTCACCGTGATTTACAGCCATCAACAATTTGGAGTGGAGGAGCAGATGAATCACAAATCTATTGAGTAAGGAGGATAGTGCACTACAAGGATGTGAGGACGTGTGGACGGCGGGTGAGGTCAGATCAGTGATGCGTACTAAATCAACAACATGATCAAACCGTATTTATGGAGTATCTGCGCCAGTTTCATATTTATCCCGGCCGTGCTATCTTATCTAATACATGGCGGTTCAGCGAGACGCCGATACATCTTTCTTCAACAGCAATCTCAATGAGCTGGTGTACGTCGGAGAATGGGAGTGTCGTATCGTACCAAAATCGCCAAGCCGTCCAGGTGCAGATTAAAAAGTGATTTATGGTGCCTGTTAGATTACAACTCAATCCGACTAGTGTTGACGAAGATCGTCGTTAAAAGCTCGGTGGTGATCGCTTCGCGGACGCTACGAACAAAGTAGCTGCATGGTGTAAATGTGCCCTGACATCGATGATATGGCATCGCAGCTAACGCATGAAGATTTGAGAGTAAGAATGAGCTCAGGATTTTGTTCATGTTGAAGTAGCTGGGCAAGAACAAGTTTATCCTTCGGATGAAGTTTAACCCATTGTCCAAGACATTGATGACCAGACAGATGAGTTAAATCTTCAATGAGCCTATCAATCAAACTAGCCGGATTTATAGGCAGTGTCAATCCAAGTGCATTGGATCAAAGACGACGAAGCTGCAGTCGTCAACAATGGAATTTGGCAGAAATGAGATGCGGTCGAATCCGTAAAGTTCGTTGATTGAATTCACATCACCATGTATACGCGCCCTGACGTGTCGTACGCAGTAAGGTAGCTATCGCGGTTCTTTGAGAGCCCTCTTCTAGTGCACGGAAGGCTGCAAATTGTGTACAGCACTATCTCTCAACAAAGCGCGAGCTTGAAAATTTAACAGTCGTATATTTATTGTGTTGAAATAGAACGTACAAGACGCTAATGAGCATAAGGAATATATTCTTCAAAAGACACCCATCTGCTGCGAAGATAAACTCAATACCGACCAGACTGGATGTATGCATCGTAGATTATTAGGTGTTGTAGTAGATGGTGTTAAAGTCAGCAAAGTTCGTCATCCTGAAGTCAGCAAGGTTCGTCACTATGACGTGATCAA